GTTAGAAAATAAACAATTTTTGGGTAAATGTGACCAGGCCATTTTTGTGCCATTCACTCTCCCCAGCACGAGGTTCAGTGTGTGAGATTTAATGATGGATGTGTGATGTGAATCAGTGAATCAAACCCCTGCACTCGTTCACACACACGGCCTCGAGCTACATTCCCCGCGACCCTCAAACAGCCACAAAAGAGCAAATGAGAGAGAGGAGATGAGAGAAAAGAGCAGTGAAAAGAGTGGCAACGCTGTTCATCAAATGGAAGAAAATGACACTGTTACGTTCCCTGGGAGTTGTTGTTTTTGTTTTTATTTTTTCTTGTTACTTGTGTTTTCTTTTTCCCCAACTCCTAGGTTTCCGCTGAGTGGGTGACTCGCCGCCAATCATTATTAGGGTGTTCCATACTGCGACGAATCAGCTGACGGCCCGTGGCTTTAAAAGCTTCCGGTGCGCTCGGCCTGGGAGGCGAGGGCAGCGCAGTGAGCGCTGTTGGGGTGTGTAGCGAGACTTTTTGGCTGTGCTCTGAGCGGAGAGCCTGTGTGAGCTCCCGGGCATCAGCGTGTGTGTTTTCGATTTGTTTGAGTTGTGCCTCACTCCTGTGTATCTTCTCGTTCTCAAGTTGCTCAGTATGACTTTCATGTCTTACAACTATGTGCCGAATTGATGGTGAGCTTATTGAGTTTTCTCGTTCTCTAGGTGGGAGATGAGGGTAGGTAAGCTTAGTTGTAGGTTACATCTCTTGCACGTAGTGAAACCGTGTTAGATACACTAGTCAGTGGGTGAGCGCCTCTTGTGTATTTCTTTCTGTTTTAGTTAGTGTAGGGTATTTAGGGCGTCGCCTACGCCGAAGCTTTCGTGTTTTTGTTTCACATTTTTATTTGGTTAGGATAGGTTAGTGGGTTTGGGCGTTTAGTGTAGCCTTGTTTGGTTTTGTTTCTTTGTTGATTTAGGCGCCACTCTATCATGTCTCTCCCTTTTTGTTGGTTTGTTTGTATTATACTTTTATTTTCGGCACTGTAAATATGCACACGCGCTGCTGGTGCGTTTCTGGACAGCTACGTGAATAAGTTGCTGCCTTCTGCCATTTGTAGAATAAATTACTGCCTTTTTGCCATATGCTGTCGTCGTGGCTGTTTTTTTCTGCTCTCCTCTCCATTCATCGAATTCATTTGTTTTAAATGTTGCGGACCAATTCCCTAGATCTCGAAAGGACCGTAACAGACACACTGGGCTATTTTTACATTCACATCTCAGAGGGACGCAAAGATGCGGAGAACCTCTTCACACTAAACAGTATGTCATTTGGGCTCTGAATGGGCCGGACCGGCGGAGCAGGACATGCTGATTAAGATCCATTTTCAGCCTTTCTCAACCCGAGAGCACGAATCTCTATGGGCTTTTGAATAAAAGAGTTCGTTGAACCACATCGATTCGATTTCAGACACGTGGCCTCTCTGTGCTGTAAGAAAAAACAGCCGACCCTGTTCTGCATCACATATATCAGCTGTATAAAACCACAACAATAAATAATAAATGTTATAATCAAACAAGATCCCGTCAAGAAAATGCACAGGTCGTATTTCACCTTTAAAATAAAACAAAAGAAATGTCAAATTTTAAAATTATTAAGAGTTTTGGCATTGTTTTGCATCTGTAATGCAAAAAAGAGATGAAATTACAATTAAACTGTTGAATTTTTATACATCACAATAGTATTTGTAGTACTGGTTTTAGTTTAAAACAAAAGAAATAAAAAAAGAAACGAACATGAATAAAATAAAAAAGAATAAAATACATTTAATAAATAAATAAATAAATACAATTCAAATAAATAAAAATAAATGTACTTACACTGCAGTAATAAAAACGTAACAACGAAAAAAATCGTAACAGTCCTAAATTAGCTTTAAGTACGTTTTTTGTTTTTAATTTTTTTGATGAAATTAATAAAGTATATGAACACATTTTCAGAGATGGTTGGACTGAAGCTTTGACATGAAAAGCTAACCAAAGTTGAATTAGGTAAATGAAGCATGAACCATACGAATAGGTAAATCTACAATGAACATCTAACATATTACTGTCAACCAAAGCATTTGCCTTGAGACCAAACAAGCAAACATTTCTCTTAAAAGCACAGTGTCAGCTGATTTTTTACACAGGACAACATATGAGATTACATTTCCTGCCTGAGGCTGCATTTTTCAGCAATACAGACATGCACTGCCTCATTTTCCTCCTACACATGATGCTATGTGTCAGAATTTAATGCCAGAGCGCCTGAAAATGTTTTCAAAACTGCCCTTTAAAAGGATTCTCGCTCATTTGATGATTTTATTAATGCATCAGCAAGCATATTTGAGCTTTTTTATTCAATGCAATTTACTGAACAAACCCGTTCACGCAAAAAGAAAACATTAAACGTGTCGTGCCAGGTTTTAAAATGCAGAAATGTGAACAAGATTGGAGAGTAAGAGCAGAAGGCATGCTATTTTAGTGAACAGAAGCTAAAGTTTTGTCTGGTTCTTCACACACAAAAAATCATGTACCATTTTGTCTTTTTGGAGATATGCAAGGCAAAAAAAAAAAGATTTTCTTACTCAGTATTTTTTGTCTTGTTTTCCAGTACAAATATCTACACATTCTTAAAGATTCATTTATTTGAGGTGCAAAATGACTTCAGATACGAAGTCTCATTTTCAGTTTATACTTAAAGGGGTCATATGATACGATTTCAATTTTTCCTTTCT